GAACCCGCAGCCGAACCTTATTCCCTTTCCTTTTGGGTGTAGGTTCCCTTATGAGCTGGTTTAGGTTCCCCTCAAAGCCCCTTTAAACCAAAAAGGTGGTTTCCGAAAATATGGTTCCCTTTTAGGGGATTCCATTCTATTTGAGGTGTATAAAGGGGTACCCCTATTTTGGTGAATTACCCAGATGCTACGCTAAACCCTAAACCCTAGACCCTAGACCCTAGACCCTAGACCCTAGACCCTAAACCTTCTCTTCATATATATATATATATATACACCTTTGTAAATTCGTCGAATAACGCAAATCCTTCGTCGATTAAGGCAAGTCCTTCGTCGATTAAGCCAAGCCCTCGTCGAATAAGCCAAGCCCTTCGTCGATTAAGGCAAATGAGCAAGGATTGCCTTAATCGACGAAGGGCTTGGCTTATTCGACGAAGGACTTGCCTTAATCGACGAAGGACTTGCCTTAATCGACGAGGGGCCGGATCCTGGCCACTCTCCAACATTCGTCGATTAAGGCAAGTCTTTCGTCGATTAAGGCAAGTCCTTCGTCGAATAAGCCAAGTCCTTCGTCGATTAAGGCAAGTCCTTCGTCGATTAAGGCAAGTCCTTCGTCGAATAAGCCAAGTCCTTCGTCGATTAAGGCAAGTCCTTCGTCGATTAAGGCAAGTCCTTCGTCGAATATGGCAAGTCCTTCGTCGAATAAGGCAAGTCCTTCGTCGATTAAGGCAAATCCTTCGTCGATTAAGGCAAATCCTTCGTCGATTAAGGCAAGTCCTTGGATGAAAACTGTCATTTTTCTTAATGTTATGGGATTCTTTGGGCAGGTGTTTTTTTTTCCTAAGCCTGGAACCCTCTAATGACTATGAATGCTAGAACAGTGACCCTCTAGACCCTAAACCCTAAACCCTAACCCTAGCGGCCAGTTCCCCGCTTCGGCGATCTGCTCTGGGGCGGCTGCGCGGAACTGGTGGCCGCCGGTGCGGCAGGGGCTTCACCCAAAACCCTAAACCCTAATCCCTAAACCTGAAACCCCAAACCCCAAACCCCAAACCCGAATTAAAGCCTAAACTCTGAATGAACCCTAAAGCCCTAGCCCTAAAGCCCTAGCCCTTAAGCCCTAGCCCTTAAGCCCTAGCCCCCACCCCCTAAGACAGACATTGTTGGGCTTTCGGCCTACCACCCAGAAGGCGCAGGTCTTAGGGTTTAGGGTTTAGGGTTGTGCTTGCCCCATCTGTATCTGTCCAGGACATGCACATTCCACTGCGATCAGCTGCTCAGGCTGTGGCCTTTGGGGTTTTAGGAGGGTTGTATAGCCAGTTATCTCCATCCCCAGGCCCTTACACGATTTTTAAAGTCGTAGCCTTAAGAGCTTTTGGCTAATCGTAGGCAGACATCATTCATGGCCATCATACAGAGCTATGAAGATACTCTAGACATTTCGTTCTTGCTGCGGTTGAAAAGGAGAGTCTGAGCGTTTTCATCATCTCCAGCCATGGTCTTTCCACAGGTTATGAGCCCAATCACTGCATAGATCCCTTTTTTGGAAGTGTGGGCATTGGGTTATGGACTTCTTTCGCCGACGTTTCCACGGAGGGGAACACCCTGCCGATATTCCGCTTGAAGGCCAAGAGGCTGGAGATACTTATGATGGTCTTCCGAATCCGAACTTGGGAGACCAACCACCTTCGAGCTCTAACTTAGAGGATAGAGCCGCAACTGGTGGAGCAGACTTGGGAGATCCAAGATCTTCACCAGCGCAGGCCCAGGGAAATGTTTGGTGGTCAGAAAAAGCAAACCGTGAGCTGTTGTTGAAGCACATGCGACCTAGCAACTTGCCTGTTTCTGGAGATGAGCCGCCGTACGAAACTGCAGATAGGCTACCGAGGAGTGGCCCGGAGCATTTCGACTTGGCTGCTGGAGATAGTTCCGGTGCCTCCGGAGGCTACTCTGAAAATATGCTGCTGCTGGGATTGCCAGATGGAAAAGAGACCCCTGTGAGCAGTGAGGCTTCCAGGGCTGGACCTGGTCCGCTACAAGCTGATTTGGGAAGGAGTTCAGCAGATGGCAGACACTCTGGTTCAGAAGGCCGAGCTCTTGAGCCTGACAGGAAGGCGATAGACGATTTGGTGAGACTACAGCAACTTCTGGAAAGGTCTCGTGCGCCCGAGATGGGATGGCAACCGCCAGGCTTGAATTCTGGCGCACAGGTGAGTGCAGCGGCAACTCTTCCTGCGACTGAGCTGATTCACTTGGCTCAGCATGGAAATCAGGCTGCGGATCCCTTCATGATGGCCATTCTTCAGAGGTTAGAGCGGGCTGAAAGGTCCAGGTCAACCAGCACTTTGCATTCGGCGCTTGAAGGGCCGACAGGGCCCATGTCCACAGCTGACCAACATGTAGCTTCAAGTAGTCGTAGGGTAGGAGATTTGTACAAAGCAGGTTTGAACGCCGATATGTACAGGGCAGTAGAGCCACAGGGCCTAAGTAGAGAGGATGGAGATATGAGGGATCTTAGGGGTGTAGGGGTTGGTTTTCCAGGCCGGGCAGATGTAGCTTCACTTGGCAACCTTCCTCAAGGGTCTCTTCGTGAGAGAGATTCCGCTCCCCATGTTCCCATAAGTCCTCAACCCTTTCCGCAGGCCCCTAGTACACCCCGCTATCCTGAGGGACCGCATTTGGGATGTCGAGGTAACTTTAATTTGCCGGACCCCTTTGCAAGCATAGAGCCCAGACCTAGCCCTTGTGCAATCACCGATGGAGCTTTGCATGCCGGTGCCAGGAGTGGGTGTAGAGGGGTTGAGAGTTTGAGCAGGTTCGCAATTCCGCCGGGGTTGACAGGTGAGCCCAGGCCACAAGACTATAACCCAGGGAACCTTAAGGTTTGGGATAAGGACTTGTTAGGAGAGTGGATAGGTTCTTCAGGGTTTGAGGGTACAATGAGACCACGGCTTGAACCTGTCCCTAAATTGCCTGCAGCATCTCATAACCCCTATGTCCCTGAGCCTGCCATGCCCGTGATACGGAGTCGCGGGTGGGAGGCGCATGCAGCGCCACCGCCACAACCGCACGCATTATCCCTTATTGACCTTGATCCAGTGCCAGTCACCACAGGTCCAAGCGCAATGACTGGTACTGCTTTTCCACCGCTGATAGATATCCTGTCGCCGAAAGCTAAGACTCCCTTTGTCAGTGGGTTAGGGTTCAGTAAAGAAGATAGCGAACCTGCCAACACCCCTAGGACCCCTAGGGTTGGAACTAGTGGAGGTGCAGCATATACGCCAGGGGGTACCAGAGTGCCGGACGGTACACCTCCAGCGACACCGCCCAGGGTATCCTTTGGACCAACAACCATGGTGCCTTTGCCTCCTTCACCAATACCGGCTCCCCCCGCCTCACCGTGGGGTTTAGGGACACCCGATAAATCCGAGGAGCCGTCCAAACTGGTACAAAATTTGCCCCTTTTAGAAGTCATCGAGGGCTCAGCCGAGGCCAGCGTGACTACGGGAGATTGGATGGCAAGGATAGGACCCTTAATGCGCAGTCTTAGTCCAGGCGCCCCGGGATGGTGGTCTCAAGTAGTTAGTACTGCAACTGAGTACTACCAACAGTGGCTGAAGTCAGATTCGCTTCAACGTCTTGCGATCAAGTCGGATGTGGTAGCACAGGGCGCAATGCTTGAGTATGGGCATCTACGAAGAGTGGAAGAAAGAGGGTCAGTTCTTGTGCTTCAGGCGTTTCCTCCTACCCTGCAAAGCGAAGCAGTAAGCGTACGGGCATTGGGAACTGTATCTCTTTTATTCCTCGCTATGACCAAGTATCAACCGGGAGGAACTGGCGAGAAATCTGCAATCCTCTCATTTTTAACGCAACCACAATTAGAGGGAGGAAATGGGGTACAGTCAAACCATGCGGCGTTGCGTAAATGGGAGCGTCTGTATAGGCGCTGCGTCGAGCTAGGACTCGCCCCGCCAGACCCCACATTACTCGTAAGAGCACTAGACGGGCTAGGCAAGACCATTGGAAACAAGTCCCCGCACATAGCATTCCGTCTTGCTACGTTCCGCCACCAGTATCAACTTGATGCAATACCAAATGAAACGAGTGTCTTGCAATATTGCCAATTGCTGCTGGCAGAAGCAGAGGCTTGGATGATCGCTGCTTCCGCCGGGGGTGAGCCAGCTAAACATCCTCGAGTTGCTACGATGAACCAGGATCCAGCAACCGCTCACGACAGCCCAGCGAAACCTCCTGCAGGTAAGGCTAAAGGGGGCAATAAGGGTGGTAGAAATAAGGGTGAGGGGGGCCCGTTAACTGCGGAAGGGAGCTGTAAGTTCTTCATGTCCGATGCCGGATGCAGGTATGGAAAGCCCTGTATTCATCCACATCCGTCCCTGGCGCCTGCGGACGGAAAGTGTTTCAACTGTGGATCGGTTGAGCATGGAGCTGCGGAATGCACTCGTCCTAAGGGAGCGATTCCTGCTGCTAAAGGGGATAGTAAGGGGCACAATACGGGTAAGAGTAAGGCGGGAAGCCCTCAGGTAGATCCGAAGGCTAACACCCCTAGCCCTAAGAAGCCCCCTAAGGCAAAGAAGGTAGAAATAAGCCCTGATGCCAATGAGGGAGGCGCTGATGCCCAGCTTAACTCCTTGTGTACCCCCAACCTGCAGATTGAGCCAGAGGCGATTTGCTTGACAGCGTCACTGAAAGGAATCTCTGAGGACAAACCCCGTGGACTCGTGGACGGGGGAGCAAGTCACAACCTGAGATTCGCTGGTCCACATGAGTACAAGAGTGCCAGGGCGGTGACTGTTAAGTTGGCGTCTGGGAAGGCCTATGACTTAAGAATGAATACCGTAGGTACGTTGCTGAGCCCTAACCCGAACGTGCAACCCATAGTGGCAATGGGCTTGTGTACACGGTTATTGGGATGTAAGGTCGCATGGGAGGACAATGAGTGCAATATACATCACCCACTAGAAGGACCTATTGAAGTGACGATGGTAGATGATTGCCCAGAAGTCTCCCACACCACATGCCTTAGTCTGATCCAACAAATTGAAGAACAGCGTAGTAAGCTCATGCTGAAGGCCCTGCGAAATGATTGCCCAGACCCCGCTGACTGGTTGCGTATGCCGAAGGATGAGTTCCTGGAGCATCTTGAGGACTGGGCGTTGGACCTATGGGGTTTGCCCTCGTCGAATGCGCCACTGATCCCAACTGAGGGATACGGCAGCCAGGACACCGGGTTAAACAGGCATCGGAGAAGAAGGATTAACAGGGGGAAGGTGGTTCTGTGCTTTGCCCCGGGAAACCCAAAGTGGAACTTCAAGGGATCCCAGGAAATCTTGAGGGTAGACAACAGGCCGGGCCAGGGGCTAGAGAATCAGGCGCTGTACCAGTATCTTCTTCTGTGGGCTCGTGAGGGTCTCATAGAGGGGGTTGTTGGGGAGCTGCCTGAGGGTGATCTGGCCTTCAAACGATGTATTGTGCTGACCGAGGTAGCCCTCCAAGGAGTGTGGCATGGGTCAGCTAAGACCAAACAAGCCCTTGTCATCTTAAAGTCACCAGAACAAAGCAAGCAGTGTCAGGATGTTGGAGCACAAAAGGTGTCCGCCCGATGGTCCCTTAAGCTGGTCTCTTTCGATCTTGGAGCCTTGGATGGTCTGTCCGTTGGGCCAACACATGTCTTGACTAACAGTGGTCACTTGTGGGAAGCCCTTGAAGAGGTGCGAATCCCCAGAAACGCACCGTGGATCCCATCGGAGCACTCTGATGGGGAACCGGCTCGTCGAGTGTGGCCGACGTCCCTTTGCACTGTGGTTCACCAAGCCATGGCCGAGTGGCAGCAGGGTTTGAAGCATCGTGAGGACAAGGATAGGCTGCGGGTCTCCAGGCTTCAGCACCTTCTTGCACTGGGGTGGGAACCGGGGGAGATGGATGATGCGTGTATCCTTCGGTCTTTGAAGCCCAGATCCAAGGAGATGTTTCGAAAGCACTGCCTAGCAGGGCATCGCCCGTGGCGGGCGGACTGTGCTGCATGTGTGGACTCCATGGCTCATATCAGACCTCACCGTCGCCTTAAGATGTCCCGGGTTTGTGGCCTGAACATTGACGTTTCGGGCCCTCATAGAACGGCCGATTCGGAAGATCAAGATGTTGCTCGCCCTAGGTATTTTCTGGTTGGCAACTACTCTTTCCCGATGTTCCAGTATCCGGCTGATGCGAAGCCGGAGTCGGAATCCATACCTGTCGAAGCACCCATCCCCGATGAGTGGGTTGACGAGCCTGAGGAAAACCTTTTGCCAGAACCGGGGGAGTGCGAGGGAGCGGGAGTCTGGGAGGAAGCTGAAGAGCCTGATAGGCGCGGGGTGGACTGGATTGATGAGGCCAGGGTAAAAGGGGAGAATAAGAAGTGGGATACGGTTATTGCGGGATGTAAAGAGCCATCATATAAGGTCCTTAATATTCCCTTACTTGAAATCCTGCCGACCAAGTCTCCCCAAGCCATCGTAAGTGCACTGAACCGCTTCTATGCGAAACTGCGAAGCTGGGGCCTCCCTGTGTTCAGGCTTCATTCAGACCATGCCCAGGCCTTGACTCATAAAAGTGTGAGTGACTGGGCCGCACACCGTGGAATATATAAGACCACTGCAATGCCCGAGCAGCCTGCCGGAATAGGGAAGGCTGAGCAGCTGGTAAAGGCAATAAAGGCACAGGTTCGAGCCCTGCTGATATCCTCCGGTGCTCCGCCAGGTCTGTGGCCACATGCTGCCCGGTATGCTTGCGCCAGTTTGCAGAGGAGAGCCCTTCTCAAAGTTGGCCATGACTCCAAACCATTAGTTCCCTTCTATGCTGTTGTCAAGTTTCGGTCGCGTACCTGGAGGGACACTAAGTGGGGGTCAAGGGCCACTCAGGGAAGATTGGTTGCGCCCAGTACAGATATAAGTAAGGGGTACATAGTAAGGGTGGATGATAATGGGGTAAATCGTCTGTATGCAACCACCTTAGTGTATCGCGACTTCCAGGAGGAGCCTGAACCACCCACCATAGAAGGCCCAGATGAGCCGGCGCCTGTGGTGCTCCCGTCAGGGGCAGTGGTCGGCAGACCGGCGCCTGAAGGTGCGGCCGAAATTCAGGTGCCGCCTGAAGTTGCAAATCCAATAGCTGAGGCACCCAAGGTCTTGCCCGACGGATCTCTTGATGTTGAAGCAGATGACACCTGCCATGTGCACTTGCTACAGTCCAATGCCCCGACTGTCGGTGAGTTGGGGGTTGTAGTTGAGGACCTTAGGGGCGAAGCGCTTGAAGCGTCTACGAGGTCCTTGTTGGGGTATGCCATGCGTTACCATGTCGTGTCAGACGATGATTTGGACAACCTTGCAGGGCAGATAGGAATCCAGCCCATGAACTACCGCTGCCGCAGCAATATTGCTGCGTTGCTCAAAGAGTGGTGCAGTCGCTCCGAGGGCATTCGAGCTAGTAGCACTGGTTGTAGCCGCACTGTAGGGGTGTACCATTACGGGGGAGTAGTGGGTTTAACGCGTGACCATGAAAGCTTCCCAGGCATCACGGCCTTGCTGGCCAACCTGGTGAAACAGTTGACGCCTGGAGTGTGCTTCTCTGCGGTCAGTGTGTCATGGCAAGCCCGCCATGTCCCTCACCGAGACGTGCATAATGCAAAAAACACGCCAAATATCCTCATTCCCTTGATGCTCCCGAAGCAAGGTGGTCGCTTGTGGCTGTCGGTTGCGCCTGGTGACATAGTCGTTGGCCCGATACAAATGTGCACCTTGCCTGACGGGCAAGAGCAGGCCGGACAGGTTCTTGGTTTAAAGCCCTGGGTTCCCACTGTGTTCGACGCAAAGCGCTGGCATGCCACTACATCCTACCAGTCTGAGGAACCCCGCTTGGTGGTGGTTGCCTACATGCCTGTGCTAGCCACTCGGCTAACGACTCCGCAGCGTGATGCCTTGCGTGCGGTCGGCTTTCCTTGTGATGATGCGAGTGTGTGTGTTGACGAGGCGCTTCGGGCCTGTCAACAGGGGGAGTCTACTTCCGATTCTCTTGACGCAGATTCTGCGTTGGCTGGTTGTTCTTCAGCTGTGAACGTTGGTCAGACTACTGGAACGACCTTGCCATCGCTGGCAGCATGTGCTGGTGTGAGGCCCTGGTGGTGTCCCCCCGTCCCTGAGCCTGAGACTCAGGAGCATACTGCAGAGCCATCACCGCGGTATAACTCCTCTTTAGCCCCTAACGGTTTAGGACCTTCAACCCTAAATAAACCCCCTGCATCCGTGTGTGTGCAGCCGGAGCCTGCCAAAGCTGGTGATGTTGCGCCGATGCCTTCAGATTCCGATGTTCGCTTGCGTGCTGCAAGGGGGTCCGGGTTAGTGTGGGGGCAGGAGGAGAAACATGGCCCCAGGTGGTATCACGCACTTCCTCTGCCGAACCTAGAGCCTGTAGATGTCGATATGTGTGAAGATGCTGAAGGTTCCGAGGAGCATCGGGAGGCATTAAGGGTGAGGCTGGAAGGTCTGAGATTATCTGCGTTGGCCACGTTAAGAGATCAGGAGACCGCTCTTGCAAAAGATGTGCAGGCAGGCTGTGCGGACTTAGCTGAGTCAGCTGCCACACTTCTGGCTCGGATTCATGTGGAGGTCCAGGCCCTTGAAAACTTGCTTGATTGGTTGTCCGGATATGAAAACTATGACCCCGAGAACGATGGCCAGCAAAACTCCGACCTTCACTTGAGAGCAGTAAGCGTGGACGAAGGAGAGCAGCTCCTTCAGACTAAAATAGTGTCCATAAATGAAGTGATGGCCGACATCGAAGGCTGGATAGAAGCCCTAAGGTCCGAGCTCACTTCGCTGACCGAGGTGAATGGCGCAACGGGGGTCATCACAGAAGAGGAGGTTAGACAACTTGAGTCTGATCCCACCCTAGAAGTTGTAAGGGTGCCGGGAAAAATTGTTGCGAGCATTAAGCCGCCCCGAAAGAAGAAGGCTCGGCTGGTAGCTTGCGGAAACTTTCTTAACCGGCCCAAAAACAGAGGATCACCCACCTTGGATAGAAGGGATCTGTACTCAGCAGGTATGGACACCTTATCTCTTAGGACCCAATTGGGGGTGGGGGCTCTTTATGGGTGGGATTGCGGGTCTCTTGACGTCAAAACTGCCTTTTTGACTGCTCCTTATCAGCCAGGCCGGTCAGATTCTCCTGGAAAACGGAAGGTTGTGGTGGTTCGAGTGCCCCAAGCCATGATTGCTGCCGGGTTATGCCCCTCTAAATCCTGGTTGCGGGTTTTCGGCGCGCTTTACGGATTGCAAGAATCCCCGCATTCATGGTCTCTTGACAGGGATAAAAAACTGAAGTCTGTGGAGTGGGTTGGGGCGTGTGGGCACACCATGAAATTTCTGCAAACGAAGTCAGATGTATCTATGTGGCTAATTTGGGATACCAAAGAACAGCAAATCAAAGGATCCTTAGGAGTCTACGTTGATGACCTTCTCTTCATGGCATGCGGCCCCGAGCTGAAGAAGGCTATGCAAGCGGTTCAGAACCTGTGGACATGTTCAGCGCCCGAGTTCGCGTCGGGAGAGACAGGTTTGAAGTTTTGCGGCCTGCAAATCTGGAAACGAGACGGATGCATCTGTGTGGGTCAGCCTGACTACATTAACGACTTGGCTAATAGATATCCCGATTTAACGCCCTCCCCTAATCTCCCGGATTTGAGACTTGATCCCGAACCTGAAACTGTGGAGATCTCTGACATCCGACAGGGACAGAAGATAGTGGGAGAGCTCACTTGGGTTGCAAACCGCTCTAGAATGGACATTGCCTTTCCAGTTAATCGCCTTAGCAAACTTGTGCTAAAATACCCTCGGTATGTGTGCGAGGCGGGACGCCAACTGATCCGATATCTGCTCTTCACTGTTGACGTGGTTCTTCAGTATGGTCCCAATGTCTCTTTCCCTGCTGACTTTGTCGAGGCCTTAGTAAAAAGGCCCAGTGAGCTGGACTTGTGCACCTTTGCCGATGCGTCTTTCGGTCAGCAAGATGGGAGGTCGCAGAGCGGTGTGGTGATCACCCTCAACGGATCCCCGTTGGGGTGGATCACCCTCACTCAAGGGTTCATCACGCTTAGCACAGCGGAAAGCGAGCTCGTAGCTGCAGTCGATGGTATGTCTTTCACCCAAGCACTTAAACCTTTGGTCGACGAGATGTTAGGCAAAGTAACCACTTGGTTCGTGTATGGGGATAGTGTATCGTGCCAAAGTGTCCTCCTTTACCCCGCCGGGGCGTGGAGAACCCGACACCTAAGGCTAAGATGCCGATACTACCACGAGTTAATTGAAGAAGACCTAATAAGGCCCCACCACATACCTGGAAAATTTATGCCCGCAGACGTCTTGACTAAGCCGATGATGTTCCCTAAGTTGGCCAGCCTGTTGGAAATGGTAGGAGTAGGAGGGATACCCACCTTATCTAAAGTGACTAAGTCCGCCCCAAAGAAAAAAGGAACCCCTAACCAGAAAGTAAGTGACAACCCGGGTTCCAGTAGCATTGCCGGCCCTTCCTCTACAGCAGTGCGACTGCTGGTTTTCGTCAGCTGTGTTCAGTCTGCCCGAGCATCGGATGAAAGCGTGAGCGTAGCTGAGGACTCCTGGTTCCTCTGGCTACAGTCCAGCCTTCTGCTGCACCGCCTAATAATCGGGTTTCTGATGGTAATGGTTGGTGTCTTGGGTTATCTGTGTTCATGGTATAAAGGTGAACTAAGGTCCGCTAGGGTAAGGTTGTTAAGAGCTTTGGCCAATGAGGCGCAACTCGAAGCTCACTTAGAAACCATGCAGCGTGAGAACCTTGACCGACCTCTTCCACTTGTCCTCCGGGACAACCGGCCTGCAGAGGGCGAGCCTGAGAGCGAAGTGAACTCCGATGTCGGTGAGCCGGATCAGGAACAGGAGCCAACATTGAATGATCCGCTGAGTCGCTTGCGTGTCATCTTGTTTGCCGCCGGTGGCCTGGTGTTTCGCATGATTGGGCCCGATGCTGTGCAGGTCATGCTTCTCAGGGAGTTGACCCGAGGCATGAGGTTTGCAGTTGCAACAGCTTACGATAACACTCAAGTCCGTGTTCCTGCCCCGCTGGATGATGAGCCAGATTCCAGTTGGTCATATGACTCTGCCCGCGGAGACTTCTTGTTGGAGTTGGCAGAAATTCATGCGCGGTTCCGTGACGAAGATGATTACAACCCTGATGCAGTCCTTGAAGCTTTTGAAAGGTACGAGGCCAATGGAGGAATGATGACAGCAGAGGTCTATGAACCCCTCAGCCCATCAGAGTTAGAAGCACTCCATGAGGCATTGAGGTATTGGACGCAGCATGGGAGGAGAGCAGATCCAGGCGCTGAGCTTGTCCGGTATGTAGATGATGTTGGCATCGTAGGACCGCCTCACATGATAAATGAGGAGGTCTGGAGGCTCGAAGCTGAGGCTTTCGGGTACCCGATAGCACAGGCCGTGCTGTCAGTGGTGCTTCGGGGCTATGACTTCGATCTGGACCAGCTGTCTGAGGAAACGCGTCACGAGCTTCACGTTTTGGGCTACGAGCATCTGTTTGCACCAAACCGGCTACAGGAACCAAGAGCTGAGTTCGAGGGCGATGATGAAACTGTTGTCCGGGCTGCGCTTGTGCTGTACCACAGTGGCTATGGCTTTGACTGGGAGCAATTCTCAGAGAGGCGGCAGGACATGTACCACTGGTTCATGGGGAATTGGCTCCAGGACCTTCACGAGGTGGATTGAGCTAAGTAAGCCCATGAAAATGGCATACCTTGAAAACCCATAAACACCCGCATAATCATCCAAAACCCGTAAAAATTGCATAATCGCCAAAAACCTATAAAAATTGTCTGCTGTGGCGCCGAAGAGTGCCACCACGGCACCTCGCTAATAGGCGAGCTGTTGCTAAACCATCCCCTTGAACTGTCTTGGCTTGCTTTAGATTTTCTGCTAGGATAGTGGGTGGCCCGGGGGCCTAGTGCTTAGGATAGGGTTGTAGGGAGGACTGTTAGGTCAAGGCCGTTGTGGGTCCGTTAACTACTTAAGATCCCTTTCCTTTCGCTGTGGTCTGCTGAGAGCCCTCATGCAGATACGCATTGCCATTTCCCATGCAGCAAGGGTTGATAATACTTTAGGTTAGGATACCCCGCGGATTCCCACACCTAGGGGTTGCAGGAGCCTGCCGAAGGCTTGATAGTGGGTTGTAAATAGCTGGTTGGGTGTCCCGGCAAGCGAAGGTGGAGGCTGCTCCTCCAGGGGGAGTGTGCTTGCCCCATCTGTATCTGTCCAGGACATGCACATTCCACTGCGATCAGCTGCTCAGGCTGTGGCCTTTGGGGTTTTAGGAGGGTTGTATAGCCAGTTATCTCCATCCCCAGGCCCTTACACGATTTTTAAAGTCGTAGCCTTAAGAGCTTTTGGCTAATCGTAGGCAGACATCATTCATGGCCATCATACAGAGCTATGAAGATACTCTAGACATTTCGTTCTTGCTGCGGTTGAAAAGGAGAGTCTGAGCGTTTTCATCATCTCCAGCCATGGTCTTTCCACAAGGGTTTACGGTTTAGGGTACCATAGTCCGAGTAGCCTATGCCCCCACAAGGTCGGAATCTGAAAGGCCTGAATAGGTTAGAAAGGAGCGCAGGGCAAGACAAACGAGAGCCCCTGAAGCTGAACATCTGGAAGCCACCCCTTTTACGACATCATAGTACTATAACGATATGTATATATATATATATGGTCAGCCCCCCCCCCATGATCCACACCTATGGTTTTCTTGTCTTCGTCTTTGTCGGATTTTCTGCTTTTTCCTCGGAAAAATGCAGTCAAAACTGCACTGGAATACAAAAAGCTCTAGTATATTATTCTCTATAAAAACAGTAGTGTTTTTTATGTGCATTTTGCTGAAACTTGTGTCTTGCGGCCCCATAAAATTTTTGAAGGGTAGCAATTAGAAGTTTAAGGCTTTTCAGGGTTTTAGGGGTTTGTAAAATTTAGATGATCTGTGGAAGGCACCGTGGCTTCCCCAGACCATTTGCAATTTAAAAAACCCTTTAAAGGGGAAGCCCTTTTCAAATTTGAAGGGTGTTAAGGTACTTAAAGCCTTTCAAAACTTTCAAGATTTAAAGGATCTTAAAAGGCTTTAAAGCCCTTAAAAACCTCGAAACGTTTATCCCTTAAAAGGCTAAATTTCCTTAAAATTAAAAACGGGCAGCCGTTTAAAATTAAGGAAGTTACGGATTTTAGAAAAGGACAGCCATTTACAACTGCAAGAATTTCAGGGTTTTACGGATTTGTAAAAATTTATCTGGTCTGGGGAAGGCACCGGGGCTTCCCCAGACCATTGGCAACTTCAAAAATCTCTAAAATCCGCAAAGGGCAGCCACTTAAATACGTAAGCAATTTACGGTCTTCAATAGGCTTAAAAGTCTTAAAACCTTCATAATCCTGAGAATGTTTAAACAGAAGCTTAAAGATTTTTATAAGATTTTAAGGACTTTCAAAGTTTAGACGGTCTGGGGGAAGCCCCAGTGCCTTCCCCAGATCATGTAAACTTGCAAAAACCCTTAAACCCTTAACCCTAAAAACTTAACACTAAGCCCGTAGCACAAACCCCAAACACTTAACATGAAACCCTAAACACTAACCCTAAAAACTTAACACTAAGCCCTTAGCACAAACCCCAAACACTTAACATGAAACCCTAAACACTTAAGCACTAGACCCTACACACTAAACCCTAAACACGTAAACACTACACCCGACCCTAAAAACTAAACCCTAAAAACTAAACCCTAAAAACTAAACCCTAAACATTTCACACTAAACCCTACACACTAAACCCTGAACACTAGTAAAAATCCTTAAAACCCTTAATCCAAAAAACCAAACCCGAAACCCTTAACACTAAGCCCTAAACACTCAGCACTAGACCCTAAAGAGCAACCCTAAAAAACTTAACACTAGGCCCACGAACCCCAAACACTTGACACGAAACCCTAAACACATAAGCACTACTAAACCCTAAAAACTCAGCACCAGACCCTAATAACTTAACACTAAGCCCTTAGCACAAACCCCAAACACTTAACAGGAAACCCTAAACACTTAAGCACTAGACCCTAAACACTAATTAAACCCTAAACACTTAAACACTACACCCTAAAAACTAAACCCTAAGCATTATACACTAAACCCTACACACTAAACCCTGAACACTAGCAAAAATCCTTAAAACCCGTAACCCAAAAAAGAAACCGAAACCCTTAGCACTGAACCCTAAACACTCAGCACTATACCCTTAACACTAAGCCTAAAAGTTTAACACTAAGCCCTTAGCACGAACCCCAAACACTGAACACGAAACCCTAAACACTTAAGCACTAATCCCTTTCTAAACACTAAACCCAAAACACTTAAACACTACACCCTAAAAACTAAACCCTAAACATTACACACTAAACCCTACACACTAAACCCTGAAAACTAAATCCTAAACCCTAAACAGAAGGATTTTCAAGTTGTCAATGGTCTGGGGAAGCCCCGTTGCCTTCCCCAGATCATTTAAATGTGTAAACATTCTTTTTTTTTTAACACGGACCTCTGAAGCCTGTCCGGAGTCCCCTCAAACCCACCACCCACTCAGGCCCGCACCGCAGAACGCCCGTGCTTCACACAAAGCGCTCAAGCTCAGAGTATGCATTCTTAAAACCCCTAACCCTAAAAAACCAAACCCGAAACCCTTAACACTAAACCCTAAACACTAACCCTAAAAGCTTAACACTAAGCCCTTAGCACAAACCCCAAACACTTAGCACGAAACCCTAAACACTTAAGCACTTAACCCACAAACTAAACCTTAAACGTTTCAAACTGAACCCTAAACATTAGACACTAAACCCTGAACACTAAACCCTAAACCCTAAATCCTAAACAGTAAACCCCAAAGCCGGAACCTCGAGCCCTACTAAATCTAAACCTGAAACCAAAAACCCGTCGGGTTTCAGATGCTTACTGTTTGGATATCAGAGTTTAGGGTTTTTTTGGGGTTTTAGCCGAGCCGCTTGACCCTAAACCCTAAACCCTGAACTTAACACTCAACCCTAAACACAAAACACTAAACCCTAAAACCTACACACTAAACCCTAAACACTAGATTTCCAGAAAAAATCTGGAGTACCCGGGCCCCGGACTCCAGATTTCCAGAAAAAATCTGGAGTACTGGGCCCCGGACTCCAGACTCCAGATTTCCAGAAAAAATCTGGAGTACCCGGGCCCCGGACTCCAGATTTCCAGAAAAAATCTGGAGTACCCGGGCCCCGGACTCCAGACTCCAGATTTCCAGAAAAAATCTGGAGTACCGGGCCCCGGACTCCAGACTCCAGATTTCCAGAAAAAATCTGGAGTACCCGGGCCCCGGACTCCAGACTCCAGATTTCCAGAAAAAATCTGGAGTACCCGGGCCCCGGACTCCAGACTCCAGATTTCCAGCAAAAATCTGGAGTACTGGGCCCCGGACTCCAGACTCCAGATTTCCAGGAAAAATCTGGAGTACCGGGGCCCCGGACTCCAGACTCCAGATTTCCAGAACAAATCTGGAGTACCCGGGGCCCCGGACTCCAGACTCCAGATTTCCAGAAAAAATCTGGAGTACCGGGGCCCCGGACTCCAGACTCCAGATTTCCAGAAAAAATCTGGAGTACCCGGGGCCCCGGACTCCAGACTCCAGATTTCCAGAAAAAATCTGGAGTACCCAGGGCCCCAGACTCCAGACTCCAGATTTCCAGAAAAAATCTGGAGTACCCGCGGCCCCAGACTCCAGATTACAAACTCCAGAATCTGGAGTCCAGGGTCCCGGTACTCCAGATTTTTTCTGGAAATCTGGAGTCTGGAGTCCGGGGCCCCGGTACTCCAGATTTTTTCTGGAAATCTGGAGTCTGGAGTCTGGGGGTACTCCAGATTTTTTCTGGAAATCTGGAGTCTGGAGTCCGGGGGTACTCCAGATTTTTTCTGGAAATCTGGAGTCTGGAGTCCCCCCCCTCCCAAAACCCCCTTCCCGAGGCCAAATGTGTGGATCATGGGGGGGGGGGGCGAGCATATATATATATATACAGAATGTCTAGATGTGTGTGTGTGTATGAAGATATGTATATGTATATATCTACATATCTGATGATCATTCCTTTATACTTCAACAATGTTGAAACACTATCCCTATAAAGACACCCGAAGCACTATGAACCCTAGGACCGCCACACCGCCACAATGTGAGTCGAACCCCGAAACATGCTGGGGTTTAGGATTAGGGTTTAGGGTTTAGGATTATAGGGTTTAGGGTGAATGCAGGACGCGTAGTAGGGTGTCGGTACTGGCACCGTTTTCATTCATTCCCTAGTCCTAAACCCCAAAGCCTAAACCAGAAGCCCCAAACCCGAAACCCCAAGCCCGAAACCACCCTAAACCCCGTATGACTGAGCAGCTGAGTGAGTACACTTTGCACTTTTGGAACTGAAAGTGTACACTTTTTTGGGCTTATGTAACCCTAAACCCTAAAGCCTAAACCCTGAACCCTGAACCCGTATATTCCACGATGCCTTCATCCCGAGGCTTTGCAGGGAGCCCAGGACTTTTTCCCCCGCCGGAACTTCGGGGCAGTGGCTCTGCCTCCAGGAATCTGGTCTTGGGGTGTAGGGTTTAGGGTTTCGGGTTTAGGATTTAGGGTTTTGGGGGTTTAGGGTTTCGGGTTTAGGGCTTAGAGTACTTAGCCTATCTGAATCATGATTCCGAAGCCCCCAGCCCGTTAAGGTACCACATGAACCCCTCTTCGGCGAGGAGCCAAAGGCACACTGAAGGGCGGGCCGCCACCCGTGCTGTTCTTGGGCGGCGAGCGCCCAGGCTAGGGTTTGAGTTTAGGGTTTAGGGTTTCCCTAAACCCTAAACCCTAAACCCCAAGCTTAGGGTTTAAGGGTTAAGGGTTTAGGGTTTAGGGTTTAGGGTTTAAGGGGTGTTTGGGCTTCGGCATATCCAGCCACATGAACCCCCACAGTCGGGATAGGGAGTGTGGGCCATAATTCCTCTTCAGCCCAGTGAAACTGAAAGTTACGGAGTTGAGGCTGCTTGGGCTTCGGTGTAGGGCGTGTATCATAGGCTGGGGAAAGACTGGGTTACGGGCCTAGGGTGAGGGGTGGGTGGAGCATTTGAGGTTTGCAGGCCTCGCTTTCTCAGAAGCCGAGGAAGGGCCCATTTTTCACACCCAGGAATTGGAATTGTCAGCAGTTGACGACTTAAAACCCAGGGTTTTTTTCAGGGTGGCGCGATTCGGACAAATGGACTCATGTGACAATGAGTCCGGTGAGAGGGCATGGACACTACATGCAACATTTTAGGGCTTAGGGGGCTAAGCCCTAAGCCCTAAGCCCTAAGCCCCAAGCCCCAAGCCCGAAGCCCTAAGCCCTAAGCCCTAAGCCCTAAGCCCTAAGCCCTAAGCCCTAAGCCCTAAGCCCTAAGCCCTAAGCCCTAAGCCTAAACCCCCAACCCTAAACCCTAAACCCTTAGCTGGCTGTTCGTCCTTCGGCTTCACGCGAGTTGGGGAGGACGCTTTGGAGTTCTCCAAGTCGCCAGGGCCACTTAACTTTCCCATTGGGATGATTTCGCTACCGCCCCCCCCCCCCCCCCCAAAAAAAAAAAACAAAAAAAACAAAGAAAAAAAGGAAGATTAGAGAACAATGAGAATAATAGTATGACAATGAGGATCCCCATGACAGTCATGGTACCAGTCACACCCTTCCAAAAGGCAGCCGCCACTGCAATGACGTTTGGCGGCTTTCCCTCATGCCTGCGCGCGCCTGGCTACTCGTCAGCTTGTGTTGGGCTCGGGACTTGTGACTTTGGAAGCCCTAAACCCCTAAACCCGAGCAAGGAGCCCGTCGTCTGTAGTAGAAGAAGCACGGTATCCTGAGGCATGTAGGGTTTCGGGGTTAGGGCGTCAACAAGACCGATCTATGCGGGCTTCTTGGCAGCTGCAAAAAGAGAGCCTGTGAGGTTGAGGCAAATTCTGAGCGCTCCGGCTGTCTCCAAACCCTAGCCATGCGGCCTCAAGGCTTCGGGGTCCGGAATTCGAGCAGCCCTCCCGCATGTCCACCTTCCATGTTTGCCAATACCACACTCCACCAAACCGAGCTCTGGAGTTTAGGGAGTTTGGGGGTCTCAAGCCCCAAACCTCGATTCTTGGCAGGCGGCAAGGCAGCTGGCAAGTGATCTCTCCGCACGAAGAAGGTGCCGATGGCGGTTTAAGTTCTTCTCAAAGCGTGTTTGGGGGCTCAGGATCGGGAGGTGCTTTCGATGCTTGAGCCTTTTGTTGGTGGCTCGGTGCGTTGGCATCATAGTTTGGGATGTCCCCCCCATATACTAAGAGCCCTTAATGGGGATTATAGTGTCCCCCCCCTTATAGAATCTCCATTAAGGACTAGTCAGCAACAGTCAGAATCTAGAATCTGATGCGATTCTCAACGACAAAGGACCTCAGGAGCGACTTTTTTGATCCCAACTACACTTCCAGAGGATGTTCGGACCAAGTTCTCGACTTTTCAGAATTCCCAAAAGCCTCTGAGTTGCCCTAAACCCTAAACCCTAAACCCTAAACTGGCGGAGGCAACCCCGACGGTTACGGGCGCCGCGCGACCCGGCAAGGATCATGTTGAACCCCCTCGGCTTGCAGATTTGGGTTCCTCTAAACTAAAGGGTTTAGGGTTTAGGGTTTAGGGTTGAGGGTTTAGGGTTTAGATTTGGGTTCCTTTAAACCCCCCCCAAAACCCTCAGCCGCTGATAACCCCCTAAAGCGCCAAAAAAACCAAAGCCTGGGATGCCCTCCCTGGTAGGGATTAGTGCTCTAGAATTTTTACTAAGGACTCTTGGTATAAGGGGGGGAACCCTAAACCCTAAACCCTAAACCCTAAACCCCTTAACCTCAGACCCCTCTGCAGCGCCGAAAGCCCCGAGACTGCGCGCCGAGGTGCATCGTAAGTGGCGCCCGCGTGCATCCTTTGGGCTGGCTTGCGCCGCTCTGCTGCTTTAAACTGGTGTCCATGGGGTTTAGGGGTTTTTGTGGGGTTTATGGGGCTAGGGTTTATATGGCTCTTCCGATGTTTTCGGTTGGAGGGGTATGGTTTAGGGATTAGAGGGCGTGCAGTGCATAGGTTTGGGATTTAGGGCGCGCGTAGGCCGTAGGAAGCCCTTAACCCTGAGGGTCTAGGGTTTAGGGTTCAGGGTTCAGGGTTAAGGGTTCAGGGCTTAATTGAGGTTCAGGGTGAAGGCCATGCAGTTTAGGAGCTACCGGCTTGCGGGTTTTAGAGAGGTGCTTTCTATGTCTTCTAGAGGACCTCACCTTCATGTCTCGGTATACTTGCTACGAGATTTGGTATCCTTCCTTCTCCCGAACAAAGCCAGGCAAAATACTGTAAATTCACATAAGGAACCACAGGTCCAGGCCCATACTCTCCGTGGTACCAGAGATCCTGTCCCTACACCTATCCGAAGCCATATTTCAAAGTTGCCGCGACAAGAAGTTGACCCGGCCGGGTTTTGGGGGTTGGGGGTTTACGATTTTAGGGTCCCTGAAGATTTGGGGGGTCTATATTACACATAATTATAGCTTGTCGGGTCATATGCTTTGTGGAGTTTATGGGTGTATAAGCTTATGTGCTAGGATTCACGAAACAGAATCCATGATGCCACTGAAGGCCAGCACAGCTCTAAGCTTTCAGATTATCAAGCCCCCTAACACCTGAACTTCGACTCAGCATCCAGACACCAGGCTCAGGCGCAACGCGGATTCTTGCGACAGGGCGGCACTGGTCCTAAGCCCTGAACCTCGAAGCTCTCCCGTGAAACGAACAAAAATGACAGCCTTTGCATGTGAAGGTTTGTGGGCAGCGATTGTGCGTGAGGTATAGCGACCCTCACTAGGGGTTTAAGGGGTTTTGGGGGCTTTAAGGGGTGTAGAGTTTCAGCGGATCAGGGGTCTAGGGATTTGGGCGCAGTAGATCTTGGTCTCTGCGGAGATTTGTTTGCTTTGCGAGGCCAAGGCCCGCAAGCCACCTAAATCCCTTAGTCCCCAAGCCTCCTTGGTCCGAATCGTATTGCGTGTTCCCAAATTGACCCTACTTTAGGGTTTCGGGTTTAGGGCTAGGGTTTAGGGTTTAGGGTTACAATGACCCGAAACCGCGGAAAACAAAACATGTCAGACCCAAGGTTGTATGTGGCAGGCGCCTGCGCAGTGGGCCTTGCACGTCTCCCCCCCCCCCCCCCCCCCCCCGTGCGTCTCATGGCAACCCTCCTCCGCTTGGTTTAGTTAGGTTTAGGGTTTAGGGTTTATAGGGTTTAGGGTTTAGGGTTTAGGGTTTGGGGTTTGGGGTTTCGGGTTTCGCAGCTCTCCGGAAATCACGTTGGGGCCTTCCGGTTGCTGAGAGAGCTGACCCAACTAGTATACATCCCCTGCACTACTTCGTGAGGCAGGTACTTTAGGGCACCATAGGGCACCCTTAAAGGGATCTACCTTCGAGATCTTCCCAGAGAGGTAGGTTTTGCAGGGTTTTGGGGGCCTGGTTGCAGCAAAACTAATTACGCCAGGCGGCGAAGATGCATCCGGCCATCGACTGAGCGACGTCTGGGCATCCCAGGACACCCTAAACCCTAAACCCTGAACCCTGAACCCTGAACCCTAAACCCACATCAACAAAGGGACGTGGGTGTTAGGGATTAGGGTTCGGAGGAGCTCAGCAGCTGCTTCTGTCTGGACGTTTTTTGCTCTTGCGCATATTCTTCGCTCAGTCGCGTGCGTGGTAAGTATACCTACCTAAACCCTATAAACCCCAAACCCTAAACCGCCTAAACCGCCTAAACCGCCTAAACCGCCTAAACCCTAAGCCCTAAACCCTAAACCCTAAACCCTAAATCCAAGCCTAAGCCTTGTTGAAAGCTTAGTTTGGGCTTGCGGAAGTGTAGATCTTCACGGACTCATGGGCTGCCAGCTGGCCACGACCAATTCCAGTCTTCCGCATTTCACTATCATGCCATTGGCATCGCCCTAAAACCCCTATCTAGGGGCCCTCCAAAAACCCCAAAACCCTTTCAACCCTATATGGGGCTTTCCGAAAGTCTCCTTACTATCAGGGGATCCTACTGTTTGGAGGTCTATATTGGGGTCCCTGTTTTTCGTAAACCCCATAAATCAGCACGGCGCACGTCGAGGATGGTGGCGCTCAGTGGCGCTGCATGTCCCAGGCGTGCCCACAGCATGAGGTCGTCATATGTCGTCATGACCGCTGCGTTTTCTGGCTTGAGTTTGGGCATGTAGGGGTTTGAGGGATTAGGGAATTAGGGTTTAGGGTTAGGACCGGTTTCTGTGTAGAACGGCTTGGGATTTTTCGGGTTTTAGGGTTTTTTTAGGACTCCAATCTGTAGAGGGCTTCAAGTCATAGGGTTTTACGTCGTTTCACCTGACTTCAGCGTGGCCCGAAACCCCAAACTAAGCCGCAAACGCCAAACTCCCTCACAGGGGTTTAGGGTTTTGGGTTTTGTGCCCTAACCCCGAAACCTCTAAACTCTAAACCCTAAGTATGGCTCCGCATCGCATCTTTGGCTTGGCAAAGGCCAGGTCAAAACGCCACGCTGTCTGTGAGACCACCGACCCCAAAGAAAGTCTTGAGGTTTGGGGTTTAAGGTTTATGGGGCTTAGGATTGAGGATTTAGGGTTTAAGGTTTAATGGGGGTTTAGGGTTTATGTGGTTTGGGGTTTATGGGGTTTCGGGCTTAGGGTTCAGAACCAAGCCCTCAATTCCCTCAAAGGCATACATTTGGTGGGTTCTTGTATACAAAGACGGGGCTCTCAACTACGCAGGCCCTGAAGACCCACCCTGAACACTGAGCCCCAAACCCGACCCCGATCCCCACAAACCTACTCCCTGAGCCCTGAAACCTAAAACCCCCAAACCCTAAGCCCAAAATCCTAAACCCTAAACCTCAAACCCTAAACCCTCAACCCTAAACCCCCAAATCCCTACAGTCCCCCCCCCAGACCCCCACAAACAAGAGGCGGCTCCCTTCGGAGCCCGCGCTTCTCCAGCCCTGGCCGCGCTTCCCAAGCGGCCGGCCGCTGGAGTAACTTTTGGGCTCTTTGGGCTCTTTGGGTTTTCGGGTTTAGGGTGTATGGTTTAGGGTTTAGGGTTTCGGGTCTAGGGTTTTGGGGTTTAGGGCTCATCCTAGGTGGTTGCTGGCCCGCAGAGACTGAAGCCCAGATTGGTCCAAGGAGCGTGTCGTCCTCTGTGGTGGGATGGCTGCATCTGCAGAGCTATGCCCGGCCCCGAGTCTGATCGACCAGGCTTCCGAAGTCCTGGGTGAACTGCGCTCGCTAACTCAGATTCCTCTCTCTGTCTCTCTGGCCCTCTGTCACTCTGTCTCTCTCTCTCTCTCTGTCTCTCTCTCTCTCTCTCTGTCTCTCTCTCTCTCTTGCGCGCTCTCTCTCTCTCTCTCGATCTCTCTGTCTCTCTGCCTCTCTCTGTCTCTCTCTCTCTCGCTCTCTCTCTCTCTCTCTCTAACTCTCTCTCTCTAACTCTCTCTCTCTCTCTCTCTCTCTCTCTGTGCTCTTGTGTATCCCAACACCTCAGTTTTGGAAGTCCCAACCCGGCCCGTTGGCAAACAGGCCTGGGTCTAACTGTCTAACCGTCACAAGGGGTTAGGGTGTGCAGGGTTTGGGTCTTTTAAGGTTAGGTTGTTTGAGGTCCAGGGCTTACCTGTTCAACTGGAGTTGGGCTCTTTGTGTCCACAAACCCACGGCTTAGGCCACGACGTGTGGGTCAGCGAAGACGCAGGCCGTGAAGACGTGGGACATGACGCGCTCGACCCCCGAACCGAACTCCCAACCCTAAACTCTCACAGTTCCGGGTTTAGGGTTTAGGGTTTAGGGTTTAGGGTTTTGGGTTTAGGGTTGAAGGCTTTGCGCTCAGTCCGAAGCGTTTCAAGATATACATATATATATATATATATGTATTGTATACACCGGTATGTCTCTATATATATATATATAGATATACGTGTATATATATATATATGTACATAAAAATATTAATATATATATATATGTATGTATATATATATATATATATACATATATATATATATACATACATGCACACAACATAGATGTGTTTCTTTCAATAGGACATCTGATGGCGACTCAGCCTGAAGTTCATCCTGACAAGGGCCCCTAGCCCGAGCCCTAAACCTAAAAGTGATGAGGTTCGGTTTAGGGTTTAGGGTTTAGGGTTGGTTTAGGGTTTAGGGTTTAGGGTTTAGGGTTTAGGGTTTAGGGTTTAGGGTTTAGGGTTTAGGGGTTTTCCCTGTGCGAATCAGGTTTTGGGTGGCTACCGGGTCTGGGGTGCAAGTGCCAGGCTACAGCTGGACCCAGCTCGCCAGACCTCCTTGGGCCAGTGGCTGAGTCTTGCGTCTTTGGGTTTACGGCTTAGAGGGCTTGGGATTTAGGGTTTAGGGTTTAGGGTTTGTGTTTGAGACAAGCTATTACTGCTTGACACGGCTGTCATGAAGGTACCGTTTTCGCACTGAGAGTAGGGACCTCTTCTTGTGTAGATTCCTTGAGGAACACTTTGGCCCAAATGTGCGATACGCTACCCCTGGAAACCCGAAAGTAGGAAGTCCTATAGCACTGGGCCCTGAAAGCCGAGGCGCACATTACCGGCCGGTTCCGCAGCGCCTTGCTGGCGTTGCCCCCGGCCGGGGAAGCCCAGAAGAAAGCCCGAATCCTGAATTTCTAGGGTTTAGGGCCGGGTTTTAAGTTGATGGTTTAGGCTTTGACACCACCGGGCTAGGGTTTATCCGGGGTGTTGGGGTTTTGCTTTCGGATTTAGGGTTCTAAGCCCAACTCTGGGTTTAGGGTCGGTGTCTTCAGGCTTCAGGGGTTGCTTGGCTTCTAGATGCAAGAGTTCCCGAGCTGGGGCCTGCTGGGCATGACGAGAGAATCGTCGGGGTTTACAGCAACTCTGCATGAAGAGCACATGAAAGCCAGAGGCTCGAGGGAGGGTGGAGGCTGAGGTGTCGAGTCGCCCGACAAGAATATGAGCACAATACAGTCAGGAAAGAGGCAGAGAGAGACAGAGAGACAGAGAGAGCGAGAGAGGTAGGTTTTGGACGGCTTTAGGCTTTGGGACCCTGAATTTTTTTCAAGGCTACACCCTTTTAGACTTTCAAGCCCCAAGTCCCAAATTTCATTCAGCATCCTCACTAGGGAATACCCTGCCTGATCTCCATTTCTAGTTTGTCTTTTGGGGTACCTTGTTTTCATCTTTTTGACATACTAGGCATATACCTTAAACACAGGAACTGCAAGCAGAGGCCTAGGTATGCAAATTAGGATATGCCTTCAGAGTCCAGTCAATACTGCTGCTTCTGATGGGTGTATACAGTTCTGTATGACCGCTGGAATGTGTTTCTAATCTTTTGGGGACGCTGGGAAGAACCACCCCTGAACCCTAAACCCCAAACCCTAAACCCTAAACCCCAAACCCCAAACCCTAAACCCTAAACCCTAAACCCTAGGGGCCCCACACACCCCAAAACTCCGGTCTGCAGGCCGCAGGCGAGATGGCGGAGTTGAGCCAAACTGCACCAGGGCCCCAGGTTTAGTGCCTAGGGGTTGGGATGTTTAGGGCTTTTTTAGGATGATGTTTAGGGTGTTTAGGGTAGGGGTTGGGATGTTTAGGGCTTATTTAAGATGATGGTTAGGATGCTTAGGGTATGGTTTGGGATGTTTAGGGCTTATCTAGGATGATGTTTAGGGTGTTTAGGGTTTTGGGGGCTTCTTTTGCAAGTTGTGATTACATTCTGCCTTAAGGTAGGAATGTTGTTGTCAGAAGGTTTAAACCTTGGGGCTTCATCAACAGGGGTGTGCAGGCCCAAAGCCCTAAACCTTAAACCCCAAGCCCTAAACCCTAAACCCCAAAATGGCTGTTCCGAATGGGGTCCTGTTGTGGGACGGAACTACCAGGCATCCTAGCATAAGTAGAAGTCCTAGATCCCTCCTTTCTGAAACCCAAAATCCTAAACCCTACACTCCATGAACTCCATAAACGCCCATAAACCTCATAAACCTTATTAACCCCATGAACCCTGTACACCCGAAAATCGTATAAATCCTCTAGACCTTATCACCCTAAACCCTGCCAATTGAAAGCACCCCGCCAAGTGCCCCTAAGCCCTAAACCCTAAACCATAAACCCTAAACCCTAAACCCTGAACCTGAACCCTTAAAAAAAAAAAACAAAAAATAGAGGCGACAGTGCTGATGCTGGGTGGCTGCTTCATCGACGGCGGCGACGGCGCTTATGGCGGCTTTGAGTTCCGCGGCACGAAAAGGTTGAGGACAAAGTGGTTTTGGGTGTTAGGACTTTGGGCCGTGAGGGTTTTGAAAGGTTTTAGGGTTTGTTTTCGGGTTTTTAGGATGTTCAGGTTTTTGGGAGTTTGTTTTCTTTTGTGGGTTTTAGGGTGTTTAGGCTTTTAGGGTTGTAGGGCTTAGTTAGGGTTTTTAGGGTTTTCCAGGCCTTTACGATTTAATGATTTTATTTGGTCTTTTGTTTTTTTGGTGGGCTTTTAGAGGTTTTGGGGGTTTCAGGGTTTTTAGGTTTGCTAGGAAATTTCTGGATGTTTGTGCAAAATTTCAGGAGTTTCGGATTTGTCAGGCTGTTCAAGGTTTTAGGGCTTTTTGGCCTTTTAGGGTTTTTAGGTATTGGGTTTTGAGAGTGTTGAGCGTGTTGAGAGTCTTGAGTTCAGGTTTAGGGTCTCCCCATGTGCTCGCAACGAGCCTCCTTCATGGACAAACGCGACTCATAACCTAGACTACAGCCCCTCAAGCCCTACAAGCCCTACACCCTAGACCCCAGACCCTAAACCCTAATCTCTAGTGCCTACAAGCCCTACACCCTAAACCTAATCCCCTTAAAACCCTAAACCCTAAACCCCAAACCCTAAACCCTAAACCCAATCCCCTTAAAGACCCAAATAGACCTGGAAGGCGCCTCATGCACGATGTTTGGGAAGGCGGCAGCACGGTTTAGGTCTTAGGCTTTAAGGGGTTCAGGTGAGTGGGGAGCTTCCATTCAGTGAGCGCCTCGTAAGGGGTGGACGGAGGCAATATGCAAAGTCCGACTCACTTTCAAAAACAAGTAAGGGGTTCAGGGGTTTAGGGGTCTTTAGGCTATTAGGGGGTTAAGGGTTTTAGGGTCGTTGGGTTTTAGGGTTTTGGGGTCTTAGGGCTTTAGTTGGGGTTTTAGGGGTTCATGGTTGGAGTGTTGGTGGGGTCCCACCTACAGAAGCCGCCCCCAAAATCGATGATTCTGCACAGTTGTGATTACATAAAATGTCCCTTATGTGCTAGTTTGAGTTGGTTGCCCTAAACCCTAAACCCCTATCAACCCTAAACCCTGTCAACCCTAAACCCTGTAATCCCTAAACGTTTCGGGTCTAAGGTTTCTTTTGCTAACGTACAGAGGGAGTACTTCCCAAAATGAGGAACGCGCCTTCTGACAAAGACCGAACAGTGCGAGCGCTCACGGCAACCGCGAATCGATATTGCCCCACTTGCCCCACTTGCACTTCCGGAAGAGCGAATTGATTTTGCCCCACTTGCCCCAACGGCTAGTGGCTCTAATCGTTTTGTTTCAAGCGGGGCAAGTGGCAGAAATCAGTTAAGTCAGCGGTGCCGGTTTGCACGCGCACTGCTAACGAAGCCTTTAAGCCCTGCAAGTCCTGTAAACCCTAAAACCCCCTTTTTCAAAACCCCCCAAAACCCTGTAAGCACTAAAACTCCAAACCTGTCTCATCCCTGAGACCCCTCCTTGGCGAGGCCGCATCAACTTCGGCAAGCAGGCCAGGTACCCGAGTTTAGCATGGCCGACACTGGGGTCTGGATTTTTGGGTTTAGGGTTGGGATTTGGGGTCTCAGGTTCTGGACCTGCGTTCCCCGAGACCCCGAACCCCAACTCCCCAAACCCCGAAGCCTTGTTCCTTTAGAGTTTTCTGGAAGAGCAGGGCTTAGTAAGGTTTAGGGCGTAGGGTTTAGAGGGTCCCAAACTCGTCTTCGGGATTCAGAGGTCCTGGGGCCCCTTCTTGGCTCGCCCCTGGTGCCCTAAATTTTCCTCGCTGGCACGGAAGATGTTGTAGTTGTGGTTGGTTTGCGGTTGAGGGTTTAGGGTTAGCATGGAAGGCTCATAACGCTCATGTTGTTTCATTTTCCCATAGCATATTCTTTCTTGCCGAGCATAGTTATGATCCCGATATCGTCACCTACTCGTCCCTCTGTTAGTATGTACTGACAAAACTCCTATGCATAAAACATTATCCAGCCAAACATAGAGTTTTTGCTCTGGGCGTTCCTCACAAGCTCCCGTTTCAAGCAGCGCAAAACACGCCCTAAACCATAAACCCTATTCCCGAAACCCTAAACCCTAAACCCTGCCTGAGCCCCTCAACTCCAGGCCGCGGAGTGGAGCAGCTGGGGAACTCAAACCGATGATCGAGGAAGGCTGGCGCTGGCATTGGGAAAGTACAGCTCAACGTTTTCTTGGTAGAGGGTTTAGTAAGGCTTAGAGTTTAGGGATTAGGCCCCTGGGATGTTTTACCTTTTCCCTTATTGAGTTTTCGAGGATCTTGTTCAGGAATATTTTTCAGAGGGTTTTAAGGGCCATCCTTGCTTTTGTCGGCGATGCTGGCCGAACAACCCACCTTATTGTGGCATTCTGTGAAAGCATCGAGAGTTGTTCCGAGGGTATGTCACGTCCCATGTAGTGCTGTGCGATACGTCTGAGCCCCCTTCCTGGAACTTTATGTACCTACAGTTTAGTAGCAACTACCCTTAGTTAGTAGGTATAACCCATAGAACTGTAGGCAAAGAGGGTCCCAGGTTGTTCCGGTACAAAGATCACCAGACGCCCTTCTAAGCGACCAGCAGCGAGTGTGGTCAACGGCTTTTGGCTCAAGCTGTATCATGTAGGAGCCGGAATAATTGCTAAACATATTCCCTTATGGTCCCTTTGCAATTACAACCCCCCAAAGCCCTATTCTATTTATTCAGGCCCCTATACTAGCCTGCTGGACTGAGCTGCCAGCAACACCTCAAGAACAGAACCTCTGTAGGGCTTACGTAGGGTTGCTATGAAATTTCTCCTCTCCATCCATCCGCCTCCCAAGGTGTTGAGAAGCCCTTCTCACCACAACCCTGAGCTCTTAACCCAAACCCCCCGCTGTCAACGCCCCACCGACCCCAAAGCCCTAAGCGCTAAGCCCCGAACCCCCTAAACCTTAAACCCTAAACCCTAAACCCTAAACCCTAAACCCTAAACCCTAAACCCTAAACCCTAAACCCTAAACCCTAAACCCTAAACCCTAAACCCTAAACCCTAAACCCTAAACCCCAACCCTAAACCCAGAGTCAGATCTCGCCATGCCCCAGCTTAGGGCGGCGATCTCTGCGCAGAACGCCGGCCATGCTCCCTGTCGTGCCGCAGCTGGTGAAGACAACGACGGCATCGTCGGGCTCGGGGCTGCCACTGTGGTGAAATCAGCGTTTAAGGGCTTAAGGGTTTAAAGGTCTAAGGGTTTAAGGATTTAAGGGTTTGAGGGTTTTAGGGTTTATGGGTTTAAGGGTTTATGGGTTTAAGGGTTTATGGGTTTAAGGAGTTTAAGGGTTTAGCGTTTGTTTTTCAAGTATTTGGGGTTTGAGGTTTATAAGGGTCTGGGTTTGGCGATTCGGGGTGTGCTGTGAGGTTTCGGGGCTTCTTGTGCCAGCCCCTGAACCCTCACCCTTACCCCCCTAAGTTCCCTAAGGTTTAGGGTTTAGGGTTTAGGGTTTAGGGTTTAGGGTTTAGGGTTTAGAAGGTTTGGGGTTTATAGGGTTTGGGGTTTAGGGTTTCGAAACCGTAGGACTGCATTGGGTAAGGCCTTGAGCCCTAAACCATACAGCAATCTACGGCCTGCCCTAGGGCCCTAAACCCTCAACACTTCCCAGGCCGACACAGCTGACCTTGAGCACCTTGTCGGCGGAGGAGCTGGAGGTTTTTCTGAAGCAATGCCTGCTGGACAAATGCAACAGCTCCGACGCTTGGTGCGGGATCCAAAATCATCTTTGACGTGCCCCCAACCCAATGGCCTCACTATGGTTTAGGGCTTTAGGGTTTTAGGGTTTTAGGGTTTGAGGGTTTTAGGGTTTTAGGGTTTTAGGGTTTGAGTTTTTTAGGGTTTTAGGGTTTTAGGGTTTTAGGGTCTTAGGGTTTTAGGGTTTAGGGTTTCGGGCTTAGGGTTTAGGGTCTAGGCCCTAAAGCCTTCATCAGGGCCTTTGAGGGTTGGTACAGGGTTTAGGAGGAGTTGTGTTCTCTACCCCCTGAGGTTGTGCCCTTGGGTTTGGGGGCCCCTGTTCAAGGTCCTTTAAGGGAATAGAGGGGCCGTATTAGGAGTACTTAAAGGGTTTAGGGTTTAGGGTTTAGGGTTTAGGGTTACGTCCCAAGTGGCACGAGTCTTAATCCCATGAACAACCCAAGGACATCAAGACGCTCCTGGAGCTGCGCGCCGACCCTAACTGCAAGCTGGAGTATGAGCTGGGACGCAACAACAAGGAGCTTCGCCCTAAACCCTAAGCCCTAAACCCTAAACCCCAAACCCCAAACCCTAAACCCTAAACCCTAAACCCTAAACCCTAAACCCTAAACCCTAAACCCTAAAGCCTAACCCCTAAACCCTAAACCCTAAACCCTAAACAAACAACAAGGAGTTCAAGGGCACGCCCTTGACCCTGGCCGTGAAGCTCGGGGAGCAGGAGGTGGTGCGCACGCTGCTTTCTTTCCGGGCCGATCCAGCTAGCATCTACTCCATGACAGTTGGGATGGCAAGGATACTAGGCTTGATAGGGTTTAGGGTTTAGGGTTTAGGGTTTAGGGTTTAGGGTTTAGGGTTTAGGGTTTAGGGTTTAGGGTTTAGGGTTTAGCTTAGGGTCTTGGGGTATTGTTATCTTTTCTTTTATTTGGTTTAAGAGGATCTGTTTAGGAATATGACAGTTGGGATGGCAATCTTTTCTAGGCTTGGTAGGCCCCCTTGGGAAATATTTGTATTTTCCTTTATTGGGTTAAGGAGGGTCACGTTTAAGATTGTTTTCAGAGGGTTCTAAAGCCCATCCTAGCAGGCAGTGCCAGGCCTGGCTGTCAGAAAGATGACATCAAGACGGCTGAAGTCCTGGTTGGCTGCAGACGGGTCAAAAACCCTAAGCCCCAAGCAAAAAAACAACCCCCTACAACCCGAAACCCTAAACCCTAAACCCTAAACCCTTGAGCGCCCAGGATTCGGTGGACAGGGCCGGCCGTGTGCGCCACCATCGCAAAGGGCAACCTGGGCATGATGAGGCTTCTTGCAGACCACAAGGTGCAGCCTTTGCCAGCTATGAATCGGTTTAGGGTTTAGGGTTAAAAATGGGTTTGGGGTTTAGGGTTTAGGGCTTGAGGCTGCCCAGTGGTTCTGGGTTCCCTTATGCAGTAACCAACCAACAAGGGTACTCCATCGTAAGGTGGTTACTGGCCTACCAAGTATGAATAGGCTTTTTTGTCAGGGCTGTCAGGTTACAGAAACCTTTGTGGGTCTAGCCTCCAGGGTTTGGTGCCAGGTGCCCCCCCCCCACAACTCGCTTTAGCAACAGGCCAATCTCAATGGCCGTCTCATCAACTTCGACACAGCGCCGAATGCGACGTTGCTTTATGAGGCCCTTCTCACTACTCGACTCGACTGGTTGTTCAGAGCTTGGGGGTGGGGGGGGGGGGGTGCGCGTGGACTTGCGTCTTTACTTGGGCTTAGTGTTGTGGGACATAAACCCTGTAAGCAAACCCTACAAAAGCTTAAGACCCTTAAAGACCATTGAAACCCTATAGCCTAAACCCTTTCTCTTCACTGTCCAGAACCCCAAGCTGGATAGAAAGGCCTGCTATTTCGGCCAGCCGCACATCGTCAAGCACCTCATGGCGCACAAGGCGAATCCGGACGTATGGGTCAGGCCAGGGCGCCAGTCTGGGACCACTGGGGGCAGGGCGTAGGGCCCATAGGGCTGAAGCTCTCGTGTCCCGCGGCTTCATGTCCACCTGCCCTGCTTCGACGCACGAGTTTTGGACTTGTAAGGGAGGTGGAGGGGCATTGACGACCTTGAAGGTGTGGGGCTAGTCCGCCCGAAAAACCGAAGCCCCCAATCAGCTTGGAAGCCGTTTATCGGAACACGGGGTCCTCATCTCAGCAACCTTGAGTACGGGTTTATGCGTGAGTGCAAGATGCAGGGTGTAAAGTAACACTGGTCTCGGCGAGCAAATGGTTAGATTTCCAGAAGCCCTAAACCCCAAACCCCAAACCCGAAGCCCTAAACCCTAATCCCTAATTTTTTCCTTAAAAAACCCAAACCCTAGACAACAGCCGAGTCACAGACCCCGAAGGACGTAAGTGCGTAAGTGGCATATGTGCGCAATATGGAAAGATCAGGTTGGATTGGGGGTTTTGAGCGTTGAGGGTGTTAGGGTTTGGAGTCCACGACCCCGCGGGTCCATATGTAGTACTACTCTGTCGGGTTCAACGCCGCTCTGGTCTCGTTAGTACCCCTACATCTTTCTGAATCCCCGAGACGCCCATTCCCAGTTTTATTCGTGTAAACCGAGAGGTCTCAAGACAACATCGAGATTGGCCGCACGGCGCTTCAAGTGGCATCCTATCTGGGGCATGAACAGGTGCTGGCGGTTGTACTTTCTCTAGCCATTGCCCTGAACCCCAAAAACCCGAAACCCCAAACCGAATCACCTGGCAAGATTTGGGGGGTTTCGGGCTCGATTTATAGAGGGTAGTCCATATACCCCAAAACAGGGTGTACCGGGTGTGGACCGGGGGGGGGGGGGGGTTCAGTTCTTCTACTGACTTTGGTCCTTCACGGAACACGAGGGAGGTTCAGGGGTTTAGCAGGCCTAAACCCTGCAGCCCCAAACCCCAAAGCCAGGTGGTGCGAGCCCTTCTTGCCGGCAAGGCTCAGGTGGAGTTCCCGCGAGCTTTGAGGGTTTCGGGGTGTGTTTGGGGCTTGGGATATTCGGGATGTATTTAGTGGTTTTAGCTTTCAGGCCATTTTAGATACCATCAGCTGTATCAGGAATACGCTAGAACAGACCCCGTATAGCACTTGCTTTGTGGCCCAAACTCACCCTCCAGCTGAGGGTTTGAGGTTTAGGGTTTCGGGCTTCGGGCTTCGGGCTCAGGATGTAGTGTAGCCAAAAGGGCGGTCAGGAGGCTTCCTGGGTTATCCGGTTCTCCCCTGCCTCAGCTGGAGGTGTCCAGCCGTTCCTTTGCTGGGCCCTGCCCTGAACTGTTGGATGCCATCGATGGATGCCACGTGGCGGTGGTGAAGTTGCTTGTTCAAGGCCCCCGACGGGTTTTAGGGTCTTGGGGCCTTGTTATTAGGGGCGGTGGGTGCTGGATCCGAATCTGAACCGTCGAGCCTATCCCATTCCTTTTCCCGGC